GGAATGGCTAGGTTGTATGGTAGGGTTATATTCAGGTTTCTGAGGAATCTAAGACTGTCTTCCATAGTGGGTTTACCAGTTTGCATTCCCACCAACAGTGGGTTAGTGTGTCTTCCTCCCCACATCCTCGCCAGCATCTGTTGTTGTTGATTTCTGTATGTCAGCCATTCTCACTGGGGTAAGATGAAACCCCATTGTGGTTTTGATGTGAATTTCCCAGATGGCTAGTGATCCTGAACATTTTTCATATGTCTGTTGGCCATTTGGATTTCTTCTTTTGAAAAATATCTATTGAGGTCCTTGGCCCATCTCTTAAGTGGGTTGATTATTTTGATGTTGTGGAGCTTCTTGATCTCTTTGTAGATTCTGGTTATTAACCCTTTATCTGTTGCATAGTTTGCAAATATTTTTCCCATTCTGTTGGTTGCCTCTTCACTTTCATGACTGTTTCCTTTGCAGTACAGAAACTTCTCAATCTGATGCAATCCCAAATGTTAATTTTGGCTTTGACTGCCTGTGCCTCCCGGGTCTTTTCCAGAAGTCTTTGCCTGTGCCGATATCTTGCAGGGTTTCTTCAATGTTCTCTAATAATTTGATGGAGTTGGGTCATAGATTTAGGTCTTTAATCCATGTTGAGTGGATTTTTGTGTAAGGTGTAAGGTAGGGGTCTTGCTTCATGCTTCTGCACGTGGAAATCCAGTTTTCCCAGCACCATTTATTGAATAGACTGTCCTTGCTCCAGGAATTAGTTTTAGATCCTTGATCAAATATCAGTTGGCTGTAGATGTTTGGGTTGATTTCTGGTGTTTCAATTCTGTTCCATTGGTCTATCCATCTGGTTCTGTATCAGTACCATGCTGTTTTGATTACAACTGCCCTGTAGTATGTCCTGAAATCTGGTATTGTGATGCCTCCAGCTTTGTTTCTGTTGTACAGGATTGCTTTAGCTATTCAAAGTCTCCTGTGTCTCCATATGAATTTCAGCATCATTTTTTCCAGATCTGAGAAGAAGGTCTTCAGTATCTTGATTGGTATTGCATTGAATCTATAAATTGCTTTTGGGAGAATGGACATTTTGATGATATTGATTCTTCCAATCCATGAGCTTGGAAGAGTTTCCATTTGGTGTCCTCTTCTATTTCTTTTGTAAGGTTTTGTAATTCTCATCATAGAGATCTTTGATGTCATTGGTTAAGTTTATTCTAAGGTATTTATTTTTTTGGCTATTGTGATTGGAATTGATCTTAGAAATTCTTTCTAAGCCGTGGTGTTTCCTGTGTATACAAAGGCTGTTGATTTTTGTGCATTAATTTATATCCTGCTACTTTGCCAAACTCCTCTATGAGTTCCAATAGTCTCTTAGTAGAGTTCTTTGGGTTCCCTAAATAAAGAATCATGTCATCTGCAAAGAGGGATAGTTTGAGTTCTTCCTTCCCAATTTGTATCCTTTTAATTTGTTTTTCTTGCCTAACGGCTCTGGCTAAAACTTCCAGAACTACATTGAATAGCAGTGGTGAGAGGGGGAATCCCTGTCTTGTACCAGATTTCAGTGGAGAATGCTAGTTACCATATTAGCAAGTTATTAAAAAATGTTGGCAAGAGCATGGGAAATAAGTAGATCATAATGTGGATGAAATGTTGATTAGTAAACCATTATGGAATACAATATGAAATTTCTGAAAGGAATTGAAAACAGAACTACCACATAATGCAATAATCATTCTTCTGGGTATATTTTCAAAGCAGATGAAGTCACCACCTCAGACCAATATAAACGCCCTAAATTCATTATGTCCTTATTCAAAGCAGGCACGATAAGAAAATAACCCTGGTGTCCACTGTCAGACAAATGGACAAAGAAATAGTGGTAAATATGCGTACACTGGAACATTTTTCATCATTAAAAAAGAAAGAGACCTTGCCCTTTTTTACAACATAGATTGTTCCAGAGGACATTATGTTAAAAAATAAGCTAAATAGAAAAGAAAAATTATTACATTCTCTCATTTACATGTGAAATATTTTCTTTTTAAAAGGGGGTCTAAGTTATAGAGCTATAGAATAAAATAATGGGTAGCAAGAGTAGGGAGGGGCAGGAAATAGAGAATTTTTTGTCAAAGTATACAAAGTATAAGATACGAAGGATGAATAAATCTAAAGATGTAATTATAACATGATGACTACAGTTAATAAAATAGAATTGTATTACATATTCTTGTAATGTATATATATTATGTCAATTTTATGTACAATATCTAAATTTTATGTATTTTTGTCACAGAAGAAAATTGAAATGTGAGCTGTAAATATCATGTGAAATGATACATGTCTGCATCACTATAACAACCATTTTACTATCCATATGCATCGTATCCTGCTTTAAGCCTCAAATATACTTAATTTTTTTATTTTTAAAAAGTATTTATTTATTTATCCATTTATTTATATATTTAAAATGTAGAGTGACAGAGAGAGGTAGAGACATGGAAAGAGACACATAACACTAAAATTTTTTAACTAAATATTTTTAAAATCAAGAAAGGAAAATAAAGAACAGTGAAAATAAGTGACAAGATATTAACGTTCTTCTTCATACATGGAAGTCTTCTTTGACCTCTTCTCTCAGACTGACAACTAAGGGAAACTAGGAAACACCAACTGGTTCTAGCATTATTACATGGACTACAATTTCTGATGATCAATTAGCCACTGTCCTGGATGAGAAAGTCCAACTGGACTCAATGGTGTATGTCCCCATGGACATATCATCTGCTTTCCACAAAGTCAGATTTGCAAAAAGTAAAGTCTCTATGCTTAACTATACCAACAGCACAAAAATAGACATGTAGACCAATGAACAGAATAGAAACACCAGAAAGTAATCCAAACATATACAACCAATGAATCTTTAACAAATGAGCTGAAATCGATTCCTGGAGAAAGGAAAGTCTCTTCAACAAGTGGTTGCAAACTGGATCTACACATACCAAAGAATGAAATAAGACCCTTACTTTATACCTTATGCAAAAAATCAACTCAAACTGGATAAGAATCTAAATCTATGACCTGATACTATCAAGTTACAGAGGAAAACATTGAGGAAACTCTGCAATACATTGGTGCAGGCAAAGACTTCTTGAAAAAGATGCTAGAAACACAGGCAATAAAGACAAAAATATAAAAATGGGATTGCATCAAGCAAAGAAGTTTCTGCATTGCAGAGGAAACAGCAAAGTGAAGGGACAACCAACAGAATGAGAGAAGATATTTGCAAACTATGTAACTTATAAAGGATTAATATTCACAATCTATAAAAGGTTCAAGAAACTCAACAACAACAAATAATCCAGTTAGAAATGCATCAGGGAAATACAAATAAAAGCCACAATGTGATATCACCTCATCCCAGTTAGAATGGCTGTTATCCAAAACTCAAAAAAACAATTATTGGTGACAAGGATATGGGGAAAAAGTTAACCTAATCCACTATTGTTCGGAATGTAAATTAATGCATACATTATGGAGGACAATATGGAGATCCCACAAAGACATGAAAATAGATCTACCATATGACCCAGCCATCCCACTCCTGAGAATTTACCCAAACAAATGAAATAAGCATATGAAACAGTGATCTGAACCTCCATGTTTATTGCAGCTCAATTCACAACAGCTAAGATATGGAATCAACCCAGAAGCCTATCAACTGATAACTGGATAAAGAAAATGTGGTATATATACACAATGGAATACTACTCAGCCATAAAAATATAAGGTCTTGTTTTTTGTAACAAACTGGATGTAACTGAAAATGATTATGCTTAGTGAAATAAGCCAGCCTCAAAAAGACAAATACTATAGTATACAATACGAATACTATAGTCTACAATACAAAAAATAGGAATGAAATGAACATTTTGGGATATAATTTTTTTAGCCCTTGTTTATACTCCTGTGGAACTGTGGCCTTCCTACTTTTTATTTGTTGAGTATATGATTAGTAGTGAATTAAGCTTGTGGATATAGAGTAGATTAAGATTATGGCCTTACAAAAACTGATGAAGAGAGAGGAAGAAAGGGAGGGATGGAGACTAGGGGGAGCAGGGAGTGAGGGAAGTGTAGTTGTCTTCTTGGAACTGTACCTATGGAATGCATAAAATCTGTTCTGTTTATATTAATAAAAAATGTTAAATGTGAGACACTAATGACTTAGGAAAAACAGATGATTCACTCAATGAAAAATTTACTAACTATAAAATGGGTTCCATTGTCTGAGGGCTACTTCAGAAAACCATTGGTCCTCTCTTCCTCTCCTACACTTAGTATCTGCCTCTCCCTAGTAGCTTTTTCAGAGCCCCCTTCACATCTTTGTTCCTTAAGGTATAAATCAGAGGATTGAGCATAGGGGTAACAATAGTATAAAAAAGAGCAACAAACTTTCCCCCATTCTCAGAATAACTGTCAATGGGTTGGAGATACGTGTAGATGGCTGAGCCATAAAAAAGGGAAACCACAAGCAGGTGAGACCCACAAGTCCCAAAAGCCTTTCTCTTTGCAGCCATTGACTTGACCTTCAGCACTGCCTTAGTTATGTGTACATAGGAGAGAAGAATTAGTGCTGCAGGAAAGATCAAGATTATGGCTCGGGCCACAAACATCTTTGCCTCTGTTCCTTCTGTGTCTTCACAAGCTAACTTCAGGAATACAGGCATCTCACAGAAAAAGTGATTTAAGTGAAGGCCACAGAGAGGTAGGGCCATCATAAGACCTGTCTGAATCAAAGAGTTTATGAAACCTCCCAACCAGGAGACAACAGCCAATGCCTGGCAGAGATGGGGGTACATAATGGCCATGTAGTGGAGTGGACGACAGATGGCAGCATAGCGATCAAAAGCCATCACCACCAAGAGAACACTCTCCGTTGAGCCTAAGGCAAGGACAATGAAAAGCTGGGCCACACACCCTCCATAGCTGATGGTCCGGTCAGGTCCTTGAAGATTGATCAGCAGTTGAGGCACAGTGCTGGTAGTGTAGCAGAGGTCCAAGAAAGAGAGGTGGCAGAGAAAGAAGTACATGGGTGTTTGCAGTCGAATATCCAGCTGGGAGAGAGCAATGATAGTGGTGTTGCCACAAAGAGTTAGAGAGTAGAAAATAAAAATAAAGACAAAAAGGAAAACTTCCAGTTGAGGCCAATCTGAGAAGCCCACCAAAATGAAGCCCTCTCTGAAAGTGGTATTGAGACTCCCCATAGCCTTTCACCCAACCAAACAGCAGAAGACAATTTAATGCCTCTTATAAAGAATATAGATTAAAACTTTATCCATAGTATACTCCTTAAATCATTCATTTTATTATGTATGAGTATTTTGGTATTCACAACATTTTTTCACACTGTCTCTTATTCTTAATCTTCTCTTATTTAGGTAGAAAGATCACTGAATTAGTCCTTCTACCCATTTGTCTCATGATTTTAGTCAGGAAAGTCAGTCCTTTGACCTGATGTTTCCTTGTCTGAAAGTAACAAACACAGTCATGTGAAAACTATTTCTAAAAGTATAAAGTGTTACAATGTAGCATTGGTATTCTATATAGTTCCCATTTGCTCCTTTTCTTGATCTGTTAGGAAATCTGCTTCAGTACATTAGCATCCAGTAATAACAAGGTTTAGATCATAATATTAACCTCTAGGTGTTCATCTACCTCCTTCTCAATGAGTATGTTCAGTGTACCATTCTTGGAATTCCCACTTAGAATCAGCAAAGGAATCAGAAGAACATATATCCATACCTTTGGGGGGAGAAAAAGACAATTAGTAACAAATATATTTATTATGATGAATCATAAGTTGGCTTTGTCAAGTGATAAAGTAATTCTTCAAATACCCAGAAGAAGCTGTTCCCTCTTCTATACATCAACTCTCTTTCTGAAGTTTCTGTCTAGAATTTGTCACATTCGTTGAAATTAGTTTACATGTTTGTCCTTCTTTTTTTTTTTTTTTTGACAGACAGAGTGGAAAGTGAGAGAGAGAGAGACAGGGAGAAAAGTCTTCCTTTACCATTGGTTCACCCTCCAATGGCCACTGTGGCCGGTGCACCACACTGATCTGAAGCCAGGAGCCAGGTGCTTCTCCTAGTCTCCCATGCAGGTGCAGGGACCCAAACACTTGGGCCATCCTTCACTTCACTCTTGGGCCACAGCAGAGAGCTGAACTGGAAGAGGGGCAACTGGGACAGAATCCAGCGCCCCGACCAGGACTAGAACCCAGTGTGCCGGCGCCACAGGCAGAGGATTAGCCTATTAAGCCACGGCACCGGCCAATGTTTGTCCTTCTTTGTGAGTTTCTCTAGTATAAAATACAATGAATATAAAAATAAATGCTGGTGTCTTTCTTTATGGCATGCAAAAGATATTAAATTGATGTTACTTTGGGGGTTGGCATTGTGGCATAGTGGTTAAGCCACTGCCTGTGACTCTATCATCCTATATGTGATGACAAGTCCCAGTTGCTCCACTTACAATCCAGCTCCCTGTTAATGCTCATGAGAAAGCAGTGAAAGATAGCACAAGTACTTGGGCCTCTGCACCCACATGAGAGACCTGGAAGAAACTCCTGACTCCTAGCTCCTAGCTTTGGCCTGGCCCAGCCCCAACCATTGCAGCAATTTGAGGAGGTAACCAGAAGATGGAAGATTCTCTCTCTCTCTCTCTCTCTCTCTCTCTCTCTCTCTCTCTCCCATCACTCTGTGTATCTCTCTGGCTTTCAAATAAAATCTTTTGAAAAGAAATCTAAATAAAATAATTAATATAAATGTTAGAACCCTAATCCCAATGGAATTCAACATGATGAAATAAGAAATCATAAAAATGAATGTTTTAAGACTAGTGTCTGCTAATACTAACTAATAGAATGAAAAAGGGAGAGAACGATCCAACATGGGAAGCGAGATACTCAGCAGACTCATAGAATGGCAGATGTCCTAAACAGCACTCTGGCCTCAGAATCAGCCCTTAAGGCTTTCGGATCCGGCTGAAGAGCCCATGAGAGTACTTTAGGCATGGAAAGCCAAGAGACTCTGGAAAAAAAAAAGACCTAAATGAAAGATCTCCACTAGTGAGATCCAAGTGGAAAGAACGGGTCATCAAAGAAGGAGGTACCTTTCTCTGAAGGGAGGAGAGAACTTCCACTTTGACTATGACCCTGTCAGAATAAGATCGAAGTTGGCGAACCCAAAAGGCTTCCATAGCCTTGGCAACTCATGACTAGAGCCTAGGGAGATTACTGACGCCATAAACAAGAGTGTCAAATTGTTAAGTCAACAACAGGAGTCACTGTGTACTTACTTCTCATGTGGGATCTGTCCTTAATGTGTTGTCCAATGTGAAGTAATGCTATAACTAGTACTGAAACAGTATTTTTACACTTTGTGTTTCTGTGTGGGTGCAAACTGATGAACTCTTTACTTAATGTATACTGAATCGATCTTCTGTATATAAAGATAATTGAAAATGAATCTTGATGTGAATGGAATGGGAGAGGGAGTGGGAGATGGGAGGGGTGCGAGTGGGAGGGAAATTATGGGGGGGAGCCAATGTAATCCATAAACTGCTTTGGAAACTTATATTTACTAAATAAAAAAAGGAAAAAAATGAATGTTTTCCACATAGATAAAACAAACACAAAAAGGAAAACCTGAACTTAGTTTCAAAACATCAGTTTGACAAATATAGAATGGAGGACACCAAACTAACAACCTGACAGCCATTTGCTGTAAAACAAGAAGACAAAATGATCTGGAGATGCAATGACCAAACACTCAACACGAGAAAACAGAGCTTATATGTCTGCTAAATGTTAATAGGTTCAAGCTCAGAGAACATAAAATTCAATACAGTATCTGTCCTGTGTAGTTTGGGGGAAAATCTAAAACTAATTTCCTCTTAACTCTGCACTATCCAATTCATGACTCCTCTATACAGAATATCAATCTTTAATTGAACTTTAATGAAACCTTAGACTCATTTCCTAATCCATAGTTTTTGACCTCTTATTTTCCTCATCTCTCAGTTCTCTATTTCCATCTTTATGTGATCTTTTTCTTCTTGAATTCCTTGAGCTATAATGTCAATAATTTTCTTACTGGTATCCTTAACTTATTGTTCTGTTCCCTGCATCCAGTTCTGGGAGAATCCAATGCTTTGTCCCCATAAATAATAAAGATCAATACGGAACTATCTTCTTCACATTTACAATTTTAGTGCCTAGAAGAATTAATGACACAAAAATTTTTTAATAATTAAGACACTGTTGCTTGTAGGCACTCACCTGCATCAACTTTTTAACAGATCTTTATAAAGGTGTGGTATGTCACTGCAGTTTCAGGCCATTTAGAAAATAAAATATGGATGTATTTCTGATTCTGTGGAGTCTGGTGCCTTTTATCTGGATTTTAGTGTTTCAGGAAAGTTCCAATATGTATACAGACTCTGTGAAATTGTTTTTTATTCCTGTTGCATAATATTAATTTTCTTCTGCCTAACCAAGACCTTGACACCTGTCTTCCCACTTGTGAATCTTTTCTTGAGGAATATATCCCACTTTTTAATGCTGGTCTTGTTGAGAATGGGCTGATCTCCAGAATTATAATATCTGTATCCACCTGAAGTATCACATAAAACTCCACTGAGATTGGTGCCAGTGACTGCATTTGTTCAACACAGCTTGCCTGGCTCTCACTACATTAGTCACATCCCTTTCCACTCAGAAATAAGCTGCTACAATTATGACAGTTCAAAAATCTAGTAGATCTGTATTTTCTCTACTGCTCATGTGGATACCATTTTTGGAGTTTGCTTCATACCCACAACAAACAGGAAAAGAAAAATTCATACTCACCAATTTTTAGGAAACCTTTTTTTTTCTGCCAAAAGCAGGTAAAATACATTCTTCAAATTACCCCAACATTGGGTTTCTGTTAGATCCTATTATTTCCAGTCCTACAGCAAATAATCCAGGTAGGGCTTGACTCTGGTCAAATTTGCTAAAGGCTAAGACAGCATTGAGCTTTCATGTGGAAAGTCCCAACGTATACATGTGGCAGAATGGTGAAAGTTTCTTTAGTGAAACACACAGAAAAAGCACAAACTTCCTTCCAAATAGCATTCTTCCAAATGTTGAAGAAAATAATCATAAAATACAAGAATATCCAGATTCCATATTGTTTGAGTGAATATGGAAGCCTGAAAATGTCCATTTTACTTCATATTTCCAAGATCTAATAATCAAGTAAAAGAAAATTATGTTAGTCTGATATAAATTGTTCCTAAGAAAACATTTTTTTGACAGGCAGAGTTAGACAGTGAGAGAGAGAGACAGAGAGAAAGGTTTTCCTTCTGTTAGCTCACCCCTCAAATGGCTGTTATGGCCGGCACACTGCGCCAATCCGAAGCCAGGAGCCAGGTGCTTCCTCCTGGTCTCCCATGCGGGTTTAGGGCCCAAGCATGTGGGCCATCCTCCACTGCCTTCCCGGGCCACAGCAGAGAGCTGGACTGGAAGAGGAGCAACTGGGACAGAATCTGGCACCCCGACCAGGACTAGAACCCGGGGTGCCGGCGCTGCAGGCAGAGGATTAGCCTAGTAAGCCACGGCGCCAGCAAGAACACATGTTTTTAACCCAACTATCTCTAGGTGTTCACAAATTATCCTTATATTGAACTGTATTTAGAAAAATATGAAGTACAAAAGTCTATACTGGCCAGATAGAATTTAAAATATTTTGCAATTTTTTTCTTGGCAAAAGGCTTGGATAAGCATGTTGATAAAATATGCAGAAATAGGGGCTGGTGCTATGATGCAGCAGGTTAAAGCCCTGGCCTGAAGCACCAGCATCCCATTTGGGTGCTGGTTCTAGTCCCGGCTGATCCTCTTCTGATCCAGCTCTCTGTTATCGCCCAGGAAAGCAGCAGAAGCTTGCCCAAGTCCTTAGGCCCCTGCACCTATGTGGGAGATCTGGCAGAAGATGCTGGTTCCTGACTTTGGGTAGGCTCATCTGCAGCTGTTATGGCCATCTGGGGCTTGTACCAGTGGATGGAAGACCTCTCTCTCTCTCTCTCTCCCTCTCCCTCTTCCTCTCTCTACCTCTCCCTCTCTCTACCTCTCTCTGTAATTCTATGTTTTCAAATAAATAAAAATAAATATCTTGAGTGTCAATTTGTTAAGTCAACAACAGGAGTCACTGTGCACTTACTCCTAATGTAGGATCTTGTCCTTGGTGTGCTGTACATTGTGATTTAATGCTATAACTAGTACTCAAACAGTATTTTTCACTTTATGTTTCTGTGTGGGAGCAAACTGTTGAAATCTTTACTTAATGTATGGTAAACTGATCTTCTGTATATAAAGAGAATTGAAAATGAATCTTGATGTGAATGGAAGGGGAGAGGGAGTGGGAAAGGGGAGGGTTGCAGGTGGGAGGGACGTTATGGGGGGGAAGCCATTGTAATCCATAAGCTGTACTTTGGAAATCTATATTCATTAAATAAAGTTTAAAAAAATCTAGAAATAAAGAACAATAAAACCAATAAGCCATATGAAAGCATCCTGCTGAGAAATAGATATTATAATTGTATTTTCTATTGAATTGTATATTCTTGCTTAAAGAGAAACATGACAATTTGCCTACATAGTTAATAATCTGTCATACGGAAAATGTGGCTCACCTGCTTAGTTCTTCACCAAAGAGAAAAATTAGAACCATCTGGTGGGCCATACAAAAGAACAAATTGTGGTTCAACATAAATTCAACAGAAAAACAAAGCAATTTGAAAATAGACATCCTGGAAATAGGGT